TTTTTTTCACAACATAGCTGCGACAATCTTTGACGTTATGATACGTAAGCGAAAGGAATTGTGTTACTGTGTATTTGCCAGACCAATAAAGATTTTCATCGATATTTTTCTGCTTTTTAATCACAATAGGCATGATCACAAAGTGGTATCTTAGTTTTTAGAGACTGTCGAGAACCTCTTTATGCAGAATACTAAGTTAAGATGTACGAATATTTTCTTTACAAAACATTTGCAAATACGATACATTGATTTTAAACAAGCATGTATCTCTACTACTATTTTGTGAAACACAATCTAAAAGGAGTATTGAAGTATTATATACGGTAAGAAGAACATGCTGCAATAAAGACGTTTCTTTGCCCATGTTGTTTTTGACTTTTATCTATCTGAGAGATGTCAGAGTACTACTAGAAGTGTTTCTTACGACTTAGTTTTGAAAAATCTCAAAATGATGCTTTAACTTCCCTTGGGATACCGTCCAGGATCCGAAAAAATTTTTTTCTTCAAATATCTTCAGAAGCTTATCATTTATATGTTATTTTGCTCGCTGATTACGAATATCATATCTATATTTCGATTGAGTTGAGGTTTACATATGAAAAAAGCATTTTACCGTTAAATGGGCTGTACACCCATTGTACCATATATCAGAGGTGTCCACCGCGGCAGTGACGCGGTAGCGGTAGGACTTTTTTGGAAGACATTGAAAAACTGCATGAATTTAATAGAATTTCAGGGTTTACAAATGAAACACCCCGAGATTGAATGAATCTAATGGAGTAGCACCAATATCTCTGGTCAAATACAGTCGTAGCAGTGAAATTAGAAACACTTTTTGAAAACCGCCGCAGCGACAGGTTTATTTTATAATTCATCGCGGCAGTGTTGCAGCAGCTTTTTTTCTAAGGCCGTGGCAGATTTTCAGCCGTGATGGACATCTCTGCCATATATTAGCCTATCTATGTATGAAAACCTTGTATTTCTCTCCCGCATATATGCCCACATGTGGATAAATACCTGCTCTATTTATTCCAAATCGATTCAGTCTTAAAAACAATTCATAAGTAATCGAATTGTTTCATTCAATTAGAAATATCGCACAGGAAGCTGTGATTCATCCTTTTGTGTCATGTTTTAGTGTCACAAAATGCTCGAGTGTCAAAGAGCCACATATATCATTCGATGCAGTTTTATATACTGATTCTGAATATAAACTCGAAGATATGAAAGAAATTGATTAACATACTGAAAACCCTAGGAACGACCATTTCTGGGTCTTTAGTTGCTCAATCTATGTTCAAAAAACGCTTCGAATTTCAATTTGAGTGTCATATTCAGATTCAGCGGACAAAACTGCATCTAGTGATATGCTCGACATAGCTTTAGTGAATAGTTTTCTATCGTTCGAAAAATTCGCCTGGGGTCTCCACGGAAAAAGCCGAAAAGTCAAATGACTCCGCATTGGTCCAAACATTGTAGGATAGATCCAAATGAGGTTTCTATCAACGTTTCATACCGTTTTGAAGCTTTCTACTAGACTTTGAACTACTTTATAGTCATTTGACTTTTCAGCTTTTTCCGTGGAGACTAGGGGTGGCACTTTAACTTTACTTTAAAAGATAAAGTTAAAGTGGCACTTTAAACTTTAAAGTTTAAAGTTAAAGTGAAACACTTTAAACTTTAAACTTTAATTAAAGTGAAAAATTTTAAAACTTTAAACTTTAATTAAAGTAAAAATTTTAGCACTTTAACTTTAACTTTTTCTTTAAAGTTCAAGTGTTTGTGTCATGCCATACTATAGGGATACTTTAGGTCCTCAAGTGGTATACTATAAGGATACCTTTGGGTCCTCAAGTCCTATACTTTGGGGGTACTCTTAGTTCCTCAAGTCCTTATATTGGGGGTACCATTAGGTCCTCAAGTTCTATACTTTGGGGGTACCCTTAGGCTCTTAAGTCCTGTTATTGAGGGCGGGGGGTACCCTTGCGGCCTTAAGTCCTATACTTTGGAGGTATCTTTAAGTCCTTAAGTCCTATTCTTGGGGGGTACTCTTGGATCCTCAAGTCCTATTATTGGGAGGTACCCTTTGGTTCTCAAGTCCTATTATTGGTGGCACCCTTGGGTCCCCGAGACCAAATGCCAAAGCTTTATTTTCGCCGTGTTGCACTGAGTAGGAGCCCATACATATACCCATCAATCGATAGAGCATCCTCGATAACCCTATGATTGGCCCGAACATGGCTATGTGTTGTCCTTATAATAAGAGAAAAAAGGGCTTCTGAAATCTGATTGGTCTATTTTTGGACCAATCAAATGGCAGGATCCTATTTTTCAGTGATGGGATGAGTGGGGACCCCTACATATACCCATCAATCGATAGAGCATTCTGGATTACCCTGTGTTTGGCCCGAACATGCCCATCGCTTTCCCTCACAATAAGGGAAAAAAATTTGAACCCCCTCGGGTACCCCAATAATAGGACTTAAGGAGCCAAGGGTACCCCCAATAGTATAGGACCTAAGGACCTAACGGTACTCGTATAATATAGGCCTTGAGGACCCAAGGATACCCCCACAGTATGGGACTGAAGGACGTAAGGGTACCACAATAGTATAGCATTTGAGGGCCTAAGAGTATCCCTATAGTATAGCAGTTGAGGGCCTAAGGGTACCTCTACAGTATAGTAGTTGAGGATCTAAAGGTACTCTTATAGTATGACAGTTGAGGGCCTAAGGGTATCCTTATAGTATGGCATGTCACAAACACTTGAACTTTAAAGAAAAAGTTAAAGTGCTAAAATTTTTACTTTAATTAAAGTTTAAAGTTTTAAAGTGTTTTACTTTAAACTTTAATTAAAGTTTAAAGTTTAAAGTTTTAAAACTTTTTACTTTAATCAAAGTTTTAAGTTTAAAGTGTTTCACTTTAATTAAAGTTTACAGTTTAAAGTAAAAGACTTTAAACTTTAATTAAAGTTTAAAGTGTTTGTAAAGTTAAAGTGCCACCCCTAGTGGAGATCCCAGGCGAATTTTTCGAACGATAGAAAACTATTCACTAAAGCTATGTCGAGCATATCACTAGATGCAGTTTTGCTCGCTGAATCTGAATATGGCATTCAAATTGAAATTCGAAGCAATTTTTGAGTATAAATTAAGCAAATAAAGACTCAAAAATGGTCGTTCCTAGGGTTTCTAGCATGTTATTCAATTTCTTTCATACTTTCGAGTTTATATTCAGAATGAACACAAAAAACTGCATCGAATGATATATGGTTCTTTGACACTCAAGCACATTGTGGTACTAAACGGTTACACAAAAGGATGAATCACAGCTTTTTGTGAGATATTTCTAATGGAATGAAACAATTTGATTGCCTATGAATATTGTTTTTAAGACTTAATCAACTTGGAATAAATAGAGCAAGTATTTGTCCACATGTGGGCATATTTCGAAGAGGGAAAAACTAGGTCTTCATATATAGATAGACTAATATATGGCACAATGGCTGTATAGCCCATGTAGCGGTAAAATGCTTTTTTCATATGTAACACTCAACCCAATCGAAATATAAATATGATATTCGTAATCAGCGAGTAAAATAACATATAAATGATATGCTTCTAAGGATATTTGAATAAAAAAAAAATTTCGAATCCTGGAGGGCATCCGAGAATGGTTAAAACATCACTTTGAGATTTTTCAAAACTAAGTCTTAAGAAATACTTCTAGTAGTACTCTGACACCTCTCAGATAGATAAAAGTCAAAAATATCATGGGCAAAGAAACGGCCTTATTGCGGCATGTGGGTGTGGGTGTGGGTCTCTGTGGTGTCGATGGGTATGGATGTTCTCTCATCCCACACTGGCACTCACTCACATCTCATCCACTCATACCGCACACCACACCCACACCCATGGATTCCAGGTCCCTGAGAACGGAACTCGAAAGTGACAACTCTATGCGAAACATGGCAGTATTGTTTTTTCATTGAAAAGATCTCGCCGAGGTCATCACTATCAACATTGCTGCACTGTGTTGTCTTTGGTTTAAATACACACACACACGATATTGGATTCATCGAACACTGTTGGAAGACCAATTGAAACAAGCAGATAATAGAGATTGCTGCGCTTCTTGCTATCATGATAATGTATCAAGTACAACGTAGTGGTAGCGAGATCAAAAACTATTACAGTATAAAGTAATGCATATTCACAAACGTGTCCTCATGCATCTACTATCTTTATTTTTCGCTTTGTTGTCACGTTATCAGCGTCAACAATGTTGATTTTGCCCTATACATCAAAAACATTATCATTTCAGATTGAAGAACAGACATGTCGCTTGAATTGTCTGTGTGGCTGGGTGCAGCTATTGTATTTTTAGTTATCCTTTGGATTATTAGTACTGTCCGACATAAACATAGCTACTTTATAACGAATCACATTCCTGGGCCGCCACCGACATTTTTGCTCGGCAATTTGGGCACACTCTGGCGGACAACACAATATTTTCGTCAGTTGGAAGCGTGGACACGGCAGTATGGCAAAATCTATGGCATGTTTGAAGGTATGACTCCCATCTATGTCGTGTCCGATGTTGACTTTCTCCAACAAGTGTTTATTACACAATTTGCCAATTTTACCAGACGTAAGCCACAATTGTTTGCGCTGCCCGATCAAGACAAGCGAGTACATTTGTTTAACGCGAACGATGCGACATGGCGACGTCAACGACACGTTATCACTCCAACATTTAGTAAAGCTAAACTCACACAAATGATGCTGTTGATCAACAAATGCGTTGATGAGCTTATACACACACTTTCATCATACGCTGATAACAATATGGACGTCAATGTTCGTCCTTTGTACACTCGAATGAGCATGGATGCAGTGCGTAAGTAGAAGATCACAGGAATATTAATAAAACAGATAAATCTTTAAGTTCGTTGTGGCTTTTCATTCGAAACAAACGTACAACAAGACCCCAATAATCCCTATTTGACAAAGTTCACCGAAGCTGTGGCTATCGACAATCGAAAACTACTGTTTGTCAAAGTGGCCAGTGTACTACCGACACTATGCGGCTTTGTTCTTCGAATTGTTCTAGTTTTCAATGCATTGCTGTTCAAGTGGAACAAAACATTTTCATTTGTTCATTTTCCCGAGTTGCCCACTCTCTGGCTGATGGCACGCGCTGGCGAACATGTTTTACATGCTCGACGAGATGTTAACACAAATAGTCGTGTTGATCTTCTTCATCTTATGCTCGATGCAGCCACCGATCAGATTATTTCGGTAAGAAAGGAGAGAATATGATGTTTTCAAACTATTTGATTTCGGACAAGTCGATAATTGATCTTGTTGTCGATAGGACGAAAAAGTGCAACGTGATGAGAACATCGAAGCATCATTGACATCACCACGTACCAATGTCAACAAGTTGACATACGATGAAATCATCGGCAATATATTTCTATTTCTAGTTGCCGGTACAGAGACAACATCAACCACGCTTGCTTTTTGCACATATGTGTTGGCTACACATCCTGATGTACAGCAGAAGTTACAAGATGAAATTGATGCAAATGTTGACGATAGTGCTCAGTTACCGACATACGAAATAGTCGACAATTTGGAATATTTAGATATGTTCATCAAAGAAGTAAATCGAATGTTTCCGATAGTACCGGTCATCACTAATAGGCTCTGCATTCGAGACACCACAATCGGTCAATATACAATAAAAGAGGGTAAGAAGTTTTATCCATCTAGAAGCTAGAGTTCTAGACATAGTAATTTAGCCAAGCAAATCGTTGTTTTATCCAAACTTTTGCAGGTACAATTGTGCAACCCGATGTCTACAGCATCCACTATGATGCTGATCTCTGGGGTCCTGTTGATCCATATAAGTTTCATCCTGAACGGCATGCGGTCAAACGACATCCACTAGCTTACTTGCCTTTCGGTGCTGGACCACGTAATTGTGTCGGTATGCGCTTTGCCCTGCTACAATTAAAGATGGCCTGTGTCCAACTTCTAAAAAAATTTACAGTTTTGAAAAGTGACAAGCT